TATATATATATATATATATATATATATATGTATATATCGATCAATAGGCTTTATGTTTCATGCATCAGTGAGCAATATGGAGGAGTACACAGTAGTCAATTAGCTACAAGGTAGAACTTTGTACGTATGTATAAAAAGTTGAAGTTGCCATATCATATTAGAACACTGTGACCAAATTGTCAATTAGAATTCGGTAGTGTTAGAGGCATCAGAATTACAAAAGCGTAATGAAGAAGATAATAAATCGAAGATATTATTTAAGTATAATTTAGAGAGATAAATTTTAGACGAGTAAGATAGGAGTGATTAGGAATTCAGAAGATCAAGATTTTTGAGAGAACATAAAGAATAGATGCGCACCTGCACCATTGTAAACGAGTTTAAGCCATGCCATTCAAAGTCTCTAACTATCGATTACTATCGTCTCGCAGACAAGTGACCAGGTAGTCTACACCTACTAACATGGTTCAGTAATGTACAGTACCGAACAAACTTAGTAGAAATTTAATAAGAACTGAATTAGTAATCAATATAAGCGGATTCTTCAGTAGTCGGTGAGGTAGAAAATCTTCGGTTTCGAATCGATGATTAATCCTAACTTTGGATTTTATGTTTTCGAGCATGGGCTGATCAATTGACTTTGAGATTACATTCCCACTCCGAAAATCGTTCACCATTGTTATTGGTTGATTTATTATTTTAGTACGTTATTTTTGTGGCTCTCCCAATGACGTTTCTATCATGTATGAAAATAAACTCGATTTGTGTCCTTGAATAAACCTGAGTGCTTGTAGAATACACTTTCTACGTCTTGTCAAGTCTTCTTCCTCTACTTAGTGGTCCCTTGGGTCGCTCGGATTAGAGTAGCCTATCGTGTCACTGGATCATTTGTCTTCACTCTCCTTTACCGACTAAGGTGAACTCGTAATGATTTCAAGCATATCTATTGACGAGTATATCAGTTACACGATATCCGGGATTGATTAAAGTTAGACATTAACACCTTTAAACGCCGGCTCAGTGGTCTACAGGTTAAGTGTTCACACTTAAGACCGAAGATCCTCTGTTCGAATCCCGATAGCAGGGGTCGTAGATTCGCATTACTGATGAGTCCCGTACAAGAACTAAACAACTGTCCAATGCTTCCAAATTTCAAATGCTGGTCTAACATTGATCGATTCATAATTTCGTTGAAACTCAATGATCTCCATTACTCCATAATGAAGAATTTAGAAAATGTCTATTTAATTAAATTTGAATCTTTGTTGTTTGATTTACTTCTATTCTAAAGTTAATCAACCTTTTGTTTCATATGTCTTACATATTATCCAATGACTTATTGAATTCAGATACCTACTACGATAGGCTGTCTGCATATATTCAGCTAAATAAATATGAAAGGATATTTATCAATAGTGAAAAGAATTAAGCTTGTAACAGCTCTACGAACTATAAATAACTTGTACCTACTACTTATGTAACACTCTCATATATATATATATATATATATATATATATATATATATATATATATATATATATATATATATATATATATATATATATATATATATAATTGTGGTGCAAGCTACTTATAAGTAGTAAATGGCGAGAGCGTCAACGTAATGTCTGCCAGCAGCAGAAGATGGGGGAAGATCAAGAGAAAGGAAGAGTTAGAACACAATGGAATTTGTACGAAATAGCATGAATAGTGACAATGTATTGTTGATGTTTTGGAACAGGAACAGTCTAGTTCGATATGATGAACTGATATTTTGCAAATGAACAATTTACGATATGGTTTTCCGATTTTACTGAATAACTCAGTAATTTCCCCACCTTTGTAATCGTTCACTACATAATGACTATTCTTTTTTTTCAAAAAAATTTTCAGATCACCGTTCTATGTACTGGTCCACGTGCAATTGTATTTGGAATAACTAATCCAAAATTAAAACCTGACAATATGCCTACAGAACGTATTGTTACACAGAAAGTTATCTTTGCACCAGCTAATGTAAGTAGTGATTGATTAATATATATATATATATATATATATATATATATATATATATATATATATATATATATATATATATATATATATCAATCTTGGTTATTGATTAATTCGAAATCTGATCAGTCATAGTGATTTGTTAAGATTTTAAGTGGAGTTGTGCAAAAAACTACAGAATAGAAATATTTGTGTATTGAAAAGCTGCCATTTGTAGTTGATTTGTGTATGAATAGGTATTTTTATCAATTAGTGTTATGGAGAATAGTGTTTTTACACATTGAACTCATCAATCAATTATTGTAAGACCACCATTAGAAAACCACAAGTACTGGACGGATGTTTCGTTCACAGGACTCGAACCCAGGGCCTTCAGTCTTGCACGCGAACTCAGCCTCTAGACCACTGGGCAGTCCTTAAACAGTGGTAATGTCATTCTAGAGATTTTGCACGACCTCATCCATTTGCCTTTGGTAGTTACTGCCTACACCCAACAGGGTCTAACTCCACTCGTCACGTCTCCTCACCAGAACTACTCGAGTCGTGAGTGCGCACTGCTGATGAGTCTCATACCAGAACGAAACGGCCTTGTAGTGCTTCCAAGTTTCTAATTTTGGTCAAAAATGATTAATTGACGATTTCAATAGGTATTCGAAGTTTGTGCTGATGATGTTGTTCAGGAGAACAACGGAAGCTCCACAACCAAGACATCTATCTCAGAGAACGAAACACTACAACAGTAGGTATTTTTTACCCAAACTTCAGTCAGTCAGTAGTTATAAACAACACTGAACTAGACATTAGTTCAACTTGTCACAGTATTTGAGTGCAGTCAGATGTAATTCGCAACTTGAAATGCAGATTATTGAAAGTAGTAACAACATCAGTGGCAGTAGAAAATATTAGGCTGATAAAAACAGACTAGTTGAGAAGTAACAATGAATTCCTAAAATAAGAAATCGCTGATTATTTTAAATCTCAATATTCGGCGGTTTTGAATAATATTACTAAATATCTCAAACTGTTAAAATATCTGGAACTCTAAACAACTTTCAACCTAAAAACCAAAATCAGGATTTTCAATACAAATGTCAAGACAGTTCTACTGTATGCAGCGGAAACTTGCAGAACTACGAAAGGCATCATCCTGAAGATACAAGTGTTTATTAACAGTTGTCTATGCAAAATACTTCGTATTCGTTGGCCAGACACTATCAGCAACAACCTACTGTGGGAGAGAACAAACCAGATTCCAGTGGAGGAGGAAATCAGGAAGAAGCGGTGGAAGTGGATAGGACACACACTGCAAAAAGCACCTAACTGCGTCACACAACAAGCCCTCACAGTGAACTCTCAAGGTCAAAGGAAAAGAGGAAGGCCAAGGAACACATTACGCCGAGAAATAAAGAAATATATGAGAAGAATGAACAAAAATTGAACAGAACTAGAAAGGGAAGCCCAGAACAGAGTAGGCTGGAGAAAGTCAAAGTCTTGTCGTATTCACCTCAGTCGACAAAGACTCATTAACTCATCAGTCAATTCGGCATCTTTACTTGGTACTATGTGTTAAACCTCAGCAATACTCTTCCAGTGGTTCAGCAATACTTCCAAGACATTAGTTATCAAATATATATAATCTGCAAATACCATGTATTTTTAAAGCTCACCTTTTTATAGTCATAAATTAGAACATAATGAATCGATGCTCAGCACACTAATCCTTTGGTTAACAGACAGACGTTTGACCTTCACCACAGATGATACAGATCAGCTGGAACCAAATAGGTTTTCTGAATTCATTCAAAGACTTTGTTGTTTGATTAAATCTTGACTGTACATCAGTAAGCTTGCAACTGAAGTCCATGTTTTCACAAAGTTGAAGCACGTTTCAACATTTTTGTCCTCCTTAAATAGAGGAGACAGTGTGATGCGCGCTACTTATAAGTAGTATATGACGCGAGTAAAAACGTAATGTCTGGCAGCAGAAGATGGAGGAAAATCAAAAGAAAGGAAGAAGAGTGGGAACACAAAGGAATTTGTGTATGAAACGCATGAATATTGAAATGTCAGACAATGGATTGATGATGGATTGAAGATTTGTAAATTAACCGTTTACGATACGGTTTTCCTATTTTACTGATTAAGTCTGTAATTTGAGACAAATACAATTGGGTTGCCCCTGTTGCCTGTGTTCTCCTTCACTACAACAGTACTATCATTTACCTAATATTCTTCCATAGTAATCGATTAATAATAATGATAAAACTTTTTGGTCAGGTAATAAACTTTTTCCTACTATAATTTTCATTAGTTGATTCCAACTGACTTGATGTTGCTGACTGTCACATAGCGTCGTTAACCTTAATCTATTCGAAGCCTTAGATTCAAATTTTGATAATAATTGACCATCACGCTACTCAAAACCTACTATATTTTTTTACATTAAGGGGTTGTGAAGATTGTTAAGTTACACATTCCCGGTTCTAATGGTGGTCTAACACCCACGACTCCTGCACCTCGTAGGATTCGAACCCGGGACCTTCGGAATTGTGAGCGAACGCCTAACCATCGGACCACTAGGACCGGTATTTAATGGTGTTATCGTCTAACTCTGATTGATCTACTGATTTTTGCGCGACCTCACCCATTTCATTCGAATTAACGTCATTTCTTTCATATATACACACACTGAAGCGAAATGTCGATAGTTTAGTTGAAGTCTGTCACAACATGCTTAATGTTCAATACATATTTTATTGTTTCTGGCATTTTTCAGACATATTTTCCGCTAGTTAAATGTGTGTGATTACTATGTTTTAGAATGTAATTTTCATCAATGGTTGCATTTCAGATCGCTAAATCTATTCAAAACTATGTCACGCAAACATGTCTCATGGTGTACATTCTTACCGGCTAAAAACTGTAACCAAAATAAAAGTTATCCTTTTTTTTAAAAAAAGGTATATGATGAGAATCACAGACTCATATCCGATAAATTCCAGTCCAGAATGAAGTTGCTTTCTTGACACGGTGATCGTGCTTGCCGCTTGCGATGATCCAACCGAGCTATATTGGCTTGTTCCACCACAATGTCAGGTGGGTTGATTGGAGAATGGTGTGACTTAAAGCAGTAACTGAAGGACTGAGGGCGAAGTTGTACTGCTGACTGTACAGAGGTGTGAAAGCAGTAAAGTGTTTCCCACAGACAACCAACAACTTCAGTGACGCCGCCTTCTCAAAACGGAAAGAACGAGTTACGAAAGGTTGACCCTAAAAATATCACACCTTACCCTACACCACGGATTTCCGTCTCTGACGGTAAGGCTTTTTCAGGAGCGGCGATAACACTTTAAAATCTTCCCATAAAAAGGCTGTGCATGACCAGCCTGAAGTAGTTGTCACTTGGGCTCTAGAGTCACGATTCCAGGTCTATATGATCAACAGTAATGCAACTTTCTTTACAGGTCCCTCAAGAAACACTCTTTCACGGTGTGTGAACCCCAGAAGTGACATCCACCCTCATACACCTGTCACAGCACATGAGATTGAATAAATCCCAGTTTAATGATTTGTCAATATGATTCCAATGACTGATTAGAATACATTTTTATTTAACAATTGAAATGACCACGATCAAAAAACAATCTCAACTTGAAGACGATGCAAAATTCCTAACTGAAGCATTGATTTCAAATGGCCTTCCCTAAAGTTCATCAATAGGTGTAGAGATCAGTTAAGACAAACTCAAGTTTTTGATTCTGATGAGAAGTAAAAGGTTTATATCACTTTACCATTTAGAGGTGAAGCAAATGGTCTAATATTAAGACAGAGACTAAAAGCAGCCATAGAGAAAATATACAACGCTGCTAAACTGATTATCATTGAAAAGACCAAGTTCATGATTTCACATAGACCTAAACGTTGCCCGAATGATTACATCACATCCCATTACAATTATCAATTTACATGTCTGTGTGGACACACATACATGTGGAGGAGTAATCAGACTTTGCAATCAACGGTTATGGAACATGTACCTAAGTGGCTTCAAAATCAGTTAACGTCAGATGAGCCGATTAGAGTTAGAAATAGAAAACCATGTTCATCGATCGCAAAAAATATAATTAAGACAGGGCATAAGATTTACATCAAAAACAGCCTTCAAAACATTGTATAGAAATGTTGAAGGACGAATTTTGATGTTTATGGAGGCCTTGGCTATTAGAAAATTAAAACTCCCCTTATATGTGCAGAAACAATTTGTCATAACTTGGAATTTTCCTTGGTAATCTTTAAGCCTAGGGTAATTTGACAATTTTCTGCCCCAAAATATCGCAACAGTGCTCACTAGTGATTAGCTTCGTGAGGAAATTCTCGGAGTCCTAGTTGAGAAGACGTGACCAATGGAGTTCAACCCTGTTGGGTGTAGGCAGTCAACTACCAAAGACAAGTAGGTGAGGCCTCACAAAATCCCTAAATCATTCAGAGTTAGACATTAACACCATTGGAGGTTGGGCGTTCGCGCTCAAGATCAACGGTCCCAGGTTCGAATCCCACGAGGAGCAGGAGTCGTGGGTGCGCACTGCTGACGAGTCCTATACCATGACGAAACTTCCGTCTTCCAATGCTTCCAGATTTCTAATGGTGGTCTAACAATGGTGGATTGATGATTTCAAATGTGTAAAAACGCAAAACTGTGCTCCAAAATTTTCCTATCCTTTCTTATTTTTTTCATATTACGTTAATTTTCTCTCTCCACTGTTTTTACAATTATCACCTTATGTTCTGTTTGAACTTTTATTTATAAATGACCTTTTATTCATCTTCATATAAAAAATGCTTTGACAAGTAAATATGTATTACGGGATTGTGAAGATTGTAAAGTTACACATTTTTGAAACCATGAATCGATCAATGTTAGACCATCATTAAAAACCTGAAGACACTGGACTGCCGTTTCGTGCTGATATGGGACTCCTTAACAGTGCGCATCCACGACTCCTGCACCTGACAGGATTTGAACACAGGACCTTCGGTATTGTAGGCGAACGCCTAAGCATCTGACCACTGAGCCGGTATCTTACAGTGTTAATGTGTGACAAGATTTTTCGAACAATGTATAACTCGCAAATACATCACACTATTTTTCAGATCAATTACGTCTTCTTCTTCTCACTGTGTTCTATCAAAATTTTATAAAACGGGACTACTAATTGTTTTAAATCTCAACTTGAAAAATGGCGCTTAATTCACTTCAAAAATTTCACGTGTGTGTTTTTCTTTCTTTGTTTCTTTCTTTGATTCTCAGACATTTCATTTATCATCAACATTAGCAAGTTTATCAGTATATTTAGATTCTGAAGGTCAACCATCAGCATCACCAGCCAATCATAATGATCCGTTGAATAGAACCATTTTAACATCAATTAGTTCACAACCACAAACTGCTGTAATTTCAGTGAAAAATTTAATACCTGATACAGAATATGTATTTGAATGGTCATCGGGCAATGAATTCGGTTTAAGTGTTATGATACAATTTACATTATGGACTAAAAAACTTGAAACTGCACCAACAATTAAGGTGAGAAAGTGTTTTTAATTTTTTGGTTTCTAAATTATAATTTTATAGAGTTTATTGTTTTGTGGTTTTTTGTGGTACACATTAAAATCATGGATGAAGGCCGTTTTGGGCCTAGAATGGAAATGAATCATCAGCAGTGAGCATCCACAACTCCTGGTACTCGCAGGTTTCGAACCCAGTACCCCCTCCTAATCTTGCGCGCGACCACTGAACTGGCGTCCAACGGTGTTCACGTCGAACTCTGATGTTGTTTGCGTTCATTGTGTATACAAATTGATTGTATTTTAATTTAAAACAATAGAACTGGATTCGAATTGAAGGATTAAAGAAATTTGACAATGATCATCAGTATTCTGTGATCAATGTTTATGGAGATTGTTGTTGTTTGTGATACGCACTGAAAACATTAATGAATGCCGTGTTAGACTATCACACCATTAGAAACCTAGAAGTACTGAAAGGTTGTTTTGGTCCGTTGGTTGGCTGTTACGTCCTAGTATGGGTCTACTCATCAGTGGTAGTGCTCATCTGCGACTTCTGATACTCTTAAGATTCAGACTCATGACCTTCGGTCCCTCACCTCTGGATAACTGAGCCGGTGGCATCCGACTCTGATGTTGTT